AGAGTAGTGGTTGGCAGTGGTTGGAGGGAGTGTCAGGGAAATTATCCAAACATCCTAATTGTTGGAGAATTGTACTGTTAGTAAAAAAGCTCAGAGAATTAAAAAAAAATCTTGCTGTTTGACTATTTAAGAAACAAGAGGAACATCATTACTTTTTGAAGGGTTCAGTAATTTTCAAGAGTAGGAAGCAACTACTTTTTTGTGGCACTGTCATGGGAATTCCATCAGAAAGACAAAACAGACTAGAATTATTATTTTTTTAAATTTTTATTGTGATTTGGGTGAAAGTTTACAGAGCAAATTCATCTTCCATACAGGAGCAGCTCACATACACTTTGTCTCATGACATTGACTACAATTTACCCCAATGCAACAGCTCCCCTCCCGTTTCCTCCCCATAGTTACGTCTTCTCTGTGTCCTTCCCTCCCATGCACTCCTGTCCCCCTGACTCCCGAGCTGTCTCCCGGTGCATACACAGCCCTTCTATTTTCCCATAATTAATCTCTCCAAGGAGTGTATCTACCTCAGGTAAATGTTCAGCTCATATGCCTGTCTTTTGTTTGGCTGGAAGCCACAGGAGTGGGTTCAATTCCAGACCTGAAGGATAACTAGGGGCCATAGTCTCAGTGGTTCCATGAGGCTCTATCAGACCAGCAAACCTGATCCTTTTTTTTCTTTTTTTTAATGATTTTGAGTTTTGTTCCACATTATTCTCCCACTCTACCCAGGATCTTCTACAGATATCCCCCTCCAAGTGGTTGAGAGTGGTAGCCAGGCACCATCTAGTTCTTCTGGTCTCATAGTCATATAGGCTGAGGATCGCATGGTGTCCCAGTCACTTGGACTAATTATTTCCATGTGTCTTTGGTTTTCTTCATTCTTCCTTGCTCTGAAGGAGGAGAGACCCATTGTTACATCTAGATGGTTGTTTGCAAGCTTTTAAGATCCCAGTCTCTACTCACCAAAGTAGGAAGTGGAACAATATTTTTGTGTAGTATGTTATGCCAATTGAGCTTGATGTCCCCTGTGACCATGGTCCCGAACCTATAGGTCCAGCTACTTGCTCCCTCTGGGTAGCTGGCTGTGGCCAAGAAGTGACTACAACCGTGCTCCCTGTCAGCTCTACTATTTACCTAGGAATTCGTACAGAACATTAAAATACACTTGTAGAAACATTGCCAACCCTATACATGGTCATGGGCACACTCCCCCCTGTATAGACATACCTAATAGT